GAGAGGGCGAGAGAGAGAGAGAGAGAATGAATTAACGTGTGCAAGCTGTACTTTGTGCATCCCCCCTCGGGCCCAGACATTGCAAAAACAAACCATACAGATCTTCACCCCCCCCCCAACCCCGACTCCTCGCCTTTTTTCTACAAACAGCTCAATAAAAGTAATCACCTGAAAAATACAACAAAACAAAGGACTCCGACCCTACCCCCACCGCCTAAAACAGAAAAGAAAAAGAATACGAGAAACAGACATGAAACAAGAAATACCAAAAAGATCTAATTCTAATTGCGCCCTGGGTGCACTGGAGTGCACTATGATTGTAATAATCATATTATTCTTTTCCCTGATTTTTGGAATAAGAGAAACTTGTTCCTTCCTGTTCTATATTATCTTACAACTGCTTGCTCTATACATAATTGTATAATTCCTGTCGAGGTTGGGAAACAAAAGACACTCTCCCTTTGGGATGGTCAAAAGACAAAGTTTAATGTAGTGTGTAAAGCTGTAACTTACAGAATTTAAGATTATTTTGTTTACAAATCTTCAAAAGCATTTGCCTTTTAAACGATTGGTCCACCGAAAAAACGGGAATAGTCACAAACTGAAAATCGTGAGGAAATCAATTTTGAACGATTGTTGACTCATAACTGTATTTCTGTTTTACTGTTGGTTGATAATTGTTGTAAGATTTCCCATTTCACAAACATAACAATAAGCCACCAATCAACCAAATATGAAGTTATGAGTCCACAGGCTTTTAAAATTGACACCCTCTCAATTTCATGTTTGTGACTATGCCTGTTTCTTCCCGTGGACTCCTCACTCCTCATTACAGAATTGCTCTATGATCAGCCAGAGAGGTCTTCACTATGACTGCTCCATTAAATTCTGTCATACGTCACTTTTCAAAATGGCGTCTGGCGGTCTTTCTCTAAGCAGTCGATAAGTTCTGTTACCGGTTATCAACTTCAGCGGAAGAAGTTCAACTTAATTAGGTCAAGCTTTAACCAAAAAAATCATAGACCAGTGCAAATCCTCGAAACCACATTGCATGTATTTATTTATAAACGGAAACGGAACTTTTAGATTGACAAACTGTTGGTACCGGCGGTCTTCATCGGCGAGATCAGGCATGGGCAAACTACCGCGGACCATATGCGGCCCACAAACTGTTTCAATCTGGCCCGCGAGTCGACCCAGTAGTTACTAAGTGAAAGTGGTCCACAGTGAGTTGATAATTCATTATACAAAAACTGTCCGTCCTTACAATCAACATCAACAGGATCGACCCAACTGGAAGCAATAGGTTTAATATTTCTATCTAATAAAATGCCCTTGAGTAAAATATAAATAAGCTGTAGTGTTAGTTCTAGTCTCACTTTTGAGAGCTTGGGTATTTCAACTGATTTCACTCTATAATCTTCTGCTTTGGCCCGTGAGATATTATTATGAGGAATGGTTTAATCCTCCCAGCGACTTGGGCCCGCTTGTCCATGTCTGAGTCTGAGCTAGGTGTAGACAATTACAAGTTCCAGACTCGGAGGAGCTGAAATTTGACTCTCCACTTATTATTACAGGTGCCTGCTTCCATCCTCATCACAGAGTTACATATCATCCCCTCCCCCCTCCTTCTTCCTTCCCCACTCTTCCGTGCAGTGTAAACGTTGTCTATTGGTGTGAACGAGCGAGTCCAGTCTTCAAACTGCGCGGGGGCAAGATTCATTGCAGGGTCAGAGGAATAATTGTAAGTACTTTGCGCTCACATCGACATCATAATTTATATAATTTAGGGGGCGGGCTGCTTGAACTGTCAGGATGAGAGGGGTACAAAGTCGCCACAGACAGAAGGGGATACTCGATAACTCTTCCAACCCCACCTCCCCCTTTTCTCTCTCTCTCCCTCTCTCTCTCTCTCTCTCTGTCTCTCTCTCCCTCTCTCTCTCTCTCGCTCTCGCCTCGATCATTCTTTCTCTTGCTCTCTTTCTCTCTCTCTCTCTCTCTCTTTCTCGCTCTCTCTCTCTCTCTCTCTCTCTCTTTCTCTCACTCTCTCGCTTTAACATAGGTAAATAAAAACATAGAGACAGGTACATAGGCAGACCACAAATGAATAAAATAACAGGTAAATAAAGTTTAGTTGTGCGTGTTTTACTGCAATAAACACAGAATCTTACTCATCTCATTCCATTCACAATCAATTTCTCTCTCTCTCACTCTCTCTCTCTCTCACTCTCTCTCTCTCTCTCTCTCTCTCTCTCTCTGTCTGTCTGTCTGTCTGTCTGGAGGTCAGTCAGTCTGTCTGTCTTTTTCTGTTTCTCTCTGTCTCTCTC